AATCTTTTGGGAGTCCTGGGGGTGAGCTGGGCTCCCTCTGATAACATCCCCTCTCTCCAGGCCTGCGTGTGCTGTGTGATACAGACAGCAATTTTCTCATCCACATCATTGCTCCGCATTGTTTGTGAAACATGGGATTATCTAGATAGGGGATAAAACCAAAAGGAATCAAGTTGCACTTTGAGCAGAGAGGGCTTTTCTTTTAATCAGGCATTTGGTTAAGATAATAGGCTTGAGACCCTAATTGATTATTACTATTTTAAGGTTTTAAGATGGTTATGTATAGTGAGATGCTGAACGTGAAAAAAAATCTTAGAAATGGGTTCAGTGCTAGTTTGGGGGACTTGTATAATTTCAAAACACTGAAAAGGAATCAAAATCTCCCAAAAAGCTGTTCTCCGAAGCTTAATACACTGTCACTCAGTGGAAGAAAAATAACTGGATTTGGACTTCTTCATCTTCAAAGGAGTAACTCTGTCCCGGTTTTATTTAAGCTTGGCTTTTAGGAAACCAGCTGTATCTCTGTTTAGAAAATACCTTGTATATTTATGGTGCAATCTAGCTATTTTAAAGCAAAAATAATACTGCTGGATTATGCAAGGAAGCCTGCTAATTAAATAACAATAATACCTTGAGCACCTTGAAAACATCTTCAGATATTCAATTAAGGAACAATAACCCAATGAACTTTAACCTATAGACTATATTCAGACTTTCTACATAAAAGTAATTGCATCAGTCATGATTTTCTCAAGCTACAACATAAGCTCAACGTCTGAGACTCCTTTTTACTGCATTAATTGGAAAGCAGACAATACTCTCCCTGTAAACTCCATTTCAGGACAAAGGTTAGTTGCCTTTGTACACGTTTACTCATTGAAATAGGAATGTTTGCTTAATAATTCAAAACAAATAGCACTAGACAACAAGTCCTAATCCTGATTTCTCCTCTGCCAGTGTAAATTAGGGGAAAATGAGGTGAAACTCTATTTGACCGGTGTAGAAAGATTTGTTTAAAACTTCTTTGAGAGAGATCAGAATTAGACTCCAGCAATTGAAGCCTTTTCTTCTGGCTTCTTTGCTGGGATCCAAAAGAAGAATATGTAAATGGAATTGGGAATTTTCTCCCCAATTAAAGCAGTGATCAAGTTATGGAAAAATGTTTTCCATGTGGTACCTGGTACAATAACATTGTGCTGTTATGCACAATGATTTATTAGTTACTATCCTGATCTTCTTTATTCAGTTTGGTCTTATTATCCTGGGTGTTTTCCCCTCTTAGAAAAAGATGATCATCCTAGCGGGCTGAAGTAAGATCTTAGGTGATGAGCCAAGTCCTACCTTTCCCTAGACTTGCCAGGAGGAATGATTAAACCATTTATTTTAATTCCTCCTGGAGGTTGTCAGCCCATCTTTGTTTGGCAGGGCAGTGAGCACATGCTTTAGTCAGGCATGGGATGGAAGTGAAGCACGTGCTCCAACAGCTCTGCTGAGTCAGGGCCTGCCCTGGCCAGCCATGTCTTAATTTGTACCCAAAATTGAAAATTGCAGTGAATGAACTCTGCGAGGCTCATTTTCAGCATCTGCTTTACTACCAAACTGTGAGTGCTGCACAAAGCTGCAGACATAACCTGTCACACACAGCAGTCTCAGTGTCCCATCTCTTGGACACTGAGCAAAATTATCACAGTGCAAGTATCTCAGTAAAGAGCTTTCAGGATGTTTAATCATCTTTTCAGTGCAGGAGCTTGTTAACGCTAACATCTGCATATGTAATTGCTTGACTTTCCCTGTTTATTTCCTCATTCAGAATTAAGTGGATCAGCCAAACTGATAGATTTTTTTGCATTGTGACCCCTGTTAATAATGTTAGCTTCACATCTTTTGTCAGTGCTGGTGTTTCCCAGTAATTCTTATTTTACACATGTAAGTTCTTCGTGCTATTTCCCTCGTTTCCTTCTCTCACTGTTATCCCAGCTCAGCAAAAATGAGAGTCTTAGGCCTGGATTTTGTAGTCTGAGCCATCCAGGCAAACCTTTAAAAATTCCATGGGGTTCTACTGAACTGCAAATTCACAAACCAACCATACCTCAAAATACATTCATGATCCAGCTCTAAGCCAAGGGCAAGGCTTTTGTGGGTATCAAGGTATTCTTAATGACTGGCAAGGCAAGCCCCTGATTTCCTAATGTTTATAAGTAAATATCAAATTGGAGAGTTGTGAAATTCACCTTTCATTTGTGAAATGTTTATTTTTGGTATTGAAGGATGAAAATCTAACCATGCTCGTTGCGTGCTGTTGTTTAATGATTACTATTACATGTATTCCCAAAAAGGAGTGTTCCTGCTGGAGTAAGTGGACATTTCAAGTGTACCCAAGATAGGAATACTGAAGTCAGCATGCCCAAGATAACTCATTCATCTTCTCTCATGCCCTGAGAGTTAGAATATATTTAAAATGGCACTTTCATTTCTGGTTTCACCTCTGTGTGACAGATTAAAGTAGCATAGTTTGCCTTGCCACAATCATATTTTTTTACTGGATAATTATAAAGGGCTCTGGGCTTTCCCTTTAAAAAATCAGCCAAATATCCTTTAGTGGCTGTGATTCAGGGTTGGTTGGGGTTTTTTTCCCTTCCATATTTAAATTTCACCTTCACTCTCCGTGCGGGTGGGAACCTGCCTGGGAAATGCAGGTAGGAGTGGACACCAGAGCAGAGCCAGTGTGGTGTGCTGCAGGAAAAAACAACACGTGGCAGATGTTTGTGGCATTGCTGGATGCACTTCTGGAAGTTGCTCAGATGCTGTCATGATGAGCACAGTGTGAGAAGTTACATAGCATGGACTGGCTTCCCTCTGAAGGGCTCTGCGGAGTAGTAAGCGTCCTGGCCCTGATCCAGCAAGGCACTTAAGCATATGCTTAATTTTAGGCACATGAGTGGTTTCAGTGAAGACCTAAGAGAATTATTTTTAATTCACAGATCATTTAATTCAATAGGCAGGTCTGCTGCAGCATATGAAAAGTAGATCTTCATATTAAAAATACTTGGGAAATCGGCGATGAACAAACGTTGTGTATGGGCAGCAACCGTTTCTAAAAAGCAGAATGAGGTAGTCATCACCTTTATTGCGGGAAAATACAAAGCAGATCAGGCAAAAGCACTTACAGCTATCTGGGAGCTATTTCTAAATTGAAAATAAGGAAAAATAAAAGCTTGTAAGAACATTTTTTTTTCATTTGAAGTAGGGAGAAATTTATTCTCTTGATGTAAATAAAAACCTTGTTTGCAGATTGAGGAATTTGTTTGTGTTGAATTTCAGCATCAATTTCAATATTTTATAGTACATTTATCTACAGCTGGAGCATGACAGATTTGTGTATATTTATATGTTTGTGTACATAATACATATGTATACACACATACACAAGGATGCCCAAAGATATACATATACACAGTTTGAAAACTCATCATTATTGCTGGAGTATAAAAACATGCCTGATGCAGAAACTTGTCTCGAGTCTGTTAGCTTAGAGACTGCGTTCATCTGGCACCGTGGGCTCCTTGCAAAACAGGGAACTTCTTCTGTGTAGGAGCAGAATTCCATCAAATCTTGGCTGGAGGTGAAAGGCTCACCTCCCTCCAGATCTCTCCCAAGCCTTTCCCTGACACAGTGCCTGACATTCCACCCTCTGTAGACCCATACAGAAGGTGTTTTCTTTCTGCACCCTGTTCCACAGGTAGAAATGGCAGTGGGATATTCTGGGTTTGTTCAAGCAACCCCGAAAGGAAAGCCAAGAGTACAAATGTGCAGCTGGCATTAGTCCTGTTGCTCTGACCATAAGAGAAAGGTGCCCAGGTATTCCCAGCATGAGCGTGGGGTGCAGGAGAATATGTGGAATGCAGGGAAATCGTAGTGAGCCTGACAAACAATTAACGACGGAGCAGATGGTGCCCCTGCAAAACATTCAATAATAAATGTTTGCGTGCGCCGGCATCGGTGACTCTAAGTAGGACAACCTAAAAAGGTATGCCACTTATCCTGTGGGCAAGCAGGACTTTACAGTTCTTTTAATAATCCCTTGATCCTGCGATTTCTCCTGTGAGCCTGATTTCCAAAGCAGGAGCTCAGCCTGGCCGAGCACAGCCCTTCCCTCTCATTGAGGTCCCGCTGCCGGAGCGCGGCCGGGGCTGCAGCTCCTTTGTCACAGAGCATACCCGTGAAAATTAAATGAACATTTGGTGGTAGGCATGTTTGCAGAGAAGAAGGGAAATACTGTTATGTAAAGTGCCATCACATTTTGATACCGAGTGTAGAGGCATTCCTTGCACCAGGGAGGTGAGCGTGGATGCCTCAGCCCTGCTTCCTACAGACAGTCCACCAAGCTAATACTTTTTCTTATGCAGAGATTTATTTTTCCTTTTAAAACCTAGTTTTAAACGTTAGAATTAATTTTTTTTTTAGTTGAAAAGGCCTTAATTTATTTTTTTTAAACCATCTGCTCATCTAAGATCCCCCTAGTGTAACCTTAGAAAAATGAAGAATACATCTTTAAATCTTGTTTGGTTTGAATGAATGGGTAGATAATCCTGATCAGATGTTTCTTTAGAGAATAATGTTTAAAACGATTATGGAACTTAGCTGTCCTGTCTGTTTCCTAGGTACAGTATTTTCATTTCAGTTGTGAAGTCATTAGGGGTCATCCAAGGTAACCGGTTATTAAAATAGTCCTCTTTTGTTTCAGATTTCCTGTTGAGATGCTTTAACATGTAAAAATCTCCCTGCTGATGTGTCATGTTAGCTTTCCTAACCTCTAGATAGAAACCACAAAGCAGCCTACATAGCTGTATGACTGGTTACCCACCTACATAAACAATAATTACTGCTAAGTGGGAAATTAGATGTCACATTTTAAGTCTAAATGAAAGTAAAGTATTTGAGAATACTGTCATTAAATGCTTGAAGCTAATCGCAGTTCTCTCCCTCTGTTTGTTTTGTAGGACATTTGGGCTTCCAGGACAGTTTTGTCACATCAGGTGTTTTCAGTGTGACTGAGCTAGTAAGAGTCTCACAAAGTAAGTATGATGTTGTGTCTGATTTGTGTGGTTTCTGCAACCCAAGTTATTTTTTTTCTTTGATTCTTATTGTTCCCTTCCTCGATTCAGAAACAGCATCTTGAAAATTAGGATTTTCTTCTCCCCACTTCTTGCCAGTGGACAGCATTTATGTGCCACTTCTTTTAATGGGTGAAAATAAACCAGCAGAATTTTAAAGTGAGCTGATAAATAATTTGATTCTGCAAACTTGTGTGTGCAAGTTGATAAACTCGTCTGGTACCCAGCTGAAAATGGGCAGAGTGCAGACAAATGCATCAGAAATCAGCCTCCCATGGATCCCTTGGAGGATCCAAGGGCTGTATTGTAACCAGACCTCTGGAAAATACCTGATCTGTGCACATAAACCTGGAAATTTTCTGATGCTGTTTTTCCACATTGTGTTCATTCATGCCACGTGTACATCCATGTATGTGTGAGATTCTGGGTTCCACATTGTGTTCATCCATGCCATGTGTACATCCATGTATGTATGAGACTCTGGGGCTGTCCAGTGCAGGGCCAGGAGTTGGACTTTGATGATCTGTGTGGGTTCCTTCCAGCTCAGGGTATTCTCTGAATTTGGGGTTTGTACACCTGCAAGTTGCTGAAGTCTTATATGAAGTCATAAGTCAAATAATGCCAACAACTGTGCCAACTTCAACCCTGATAACCTCACACATCCTGACTTCCCCAGGCCCACGTTTTCCATTAGCTGTATGGAATTCTGGCTTCTAGAGGGGTTTGGGTTTTGACCTTTAAAGAATGCTAATGCCCCCAGTGTGAGTGACACGCTGCAGCATGATCATTACAGGCTTGTCAATACTCACTAACAACACCAAATTAAGAGCACCTGTCACCACCCTGTTCCATTGATCAAAGGTGCAGTGATTGTATTTTGCTATGACATAATCCAGATAGTCCAAGGAAGGAGGACTGAGGACAGGGTCTTGCAGAGACACTGCTCCAAAGCCAGGCCTGTAGGGATTTTTTTAGGGATCTAAAAAATACTTCCCTGTGAGGGTGGGGAGGCCCTGGCACAGAGAAGCTGTGGCTGCCTCATCCCTGGAAGTGTCCAAGGCCAGGATGGAGCAGCTTGGAAGTGTTGTGGAAGGTGTCCCTGCCCATGGCAGGGTGGAACTGGGTGATCTTTAAGGTCCCTTCCAACCCAAACCATTCTGTGATCTTTTCTCCAGTTATCATGGAGATAATATCCCATTATCACCAATCACCACTGCTCCAGGTGAAACCCTCAGCTCTGTGCCCCTTTAAAACCTTAGGGTGCAACCAGTCTCGTTAGGGCATTAGGAGGAGAACCATAAAAATGGTTCTCCTCCTAGACAGCAGAAATATTTATTTGTGTGCTGGCTCTGGGGATGTAATTCAAGTCATTCTAGGGCTAGAATCTAACTGGCACAAACCTAGCAGAAAATCCATGGTTTTGAGTGAGAACACAGAGTTTCTCAGAGGATTTTCCTGGTTTATTTCCTATTTTGGAAAGGCACTAGCTACTAAATTGACTTTACATTCAAAAAAGTGATGATACAAGGAAAGCATGGCGAGTGCAAGATGAGACCTACATGCCCTGGAGAGAGGCAGAGAGAAAAACGTTGAAGAAAAAATTTCTCCTGAGCTTCCTTCCCTGACAGCTGGTGGGAATTTTGAGAGAAGGGCAAAGTTAAGAGGACTCAGAAGTCAAGAGGAGCTGCTGAGTGCTCAGCACATTTGCGAATCAGTTCACTTGCTGAAGTGCTTGAGCAGAGGCTTTGGCATCTCACTGGCTGTGCAGGGAGCAGAGACTGGCTGGTACCTGCAGCCCGGGTGGACAAGCCCAGGTTGTCACCGGGATTTGTGTTTTGTCACTTCATTTCACTGTGACAGCGTGAGGCTTTTGAAGCCCAAAGGGTTCACCCTCCCCCTCTGCAAGGCATCCCATTTCCCCCCAGCCTTATCTTGGCTGGAGGAGCCCTGCCCAGCAGAGCTGCCTCTGGACTCTGTCAGCCCTGTTCCATGTGTGCACTTTTCCTAGGAAAGTGCCCCACTCCTGGCTGGAGCCTTCCCAGCCTCCCCCAGAGCTTGGCACTGACCTCGTGAGCATCGTGTTTCAAGCTTATTAATTTTCCCTGATATTTTATTGTAACTGAACTGAAACACTGGGTATCAGAAATCCTAGCACTCAGCATGTTTTGCAAATTATGAGCTGTGTCTGAGATGTTCCCTCTGCTTGCAGTTGACGTGCACCACCTTCAAGGATGGGGCACCTGCATGCAGGAAGAGCATGGACTTTATTAGAGATAGGAAAGAAGGTTATGGTGGGAAAAATACAAAGATTCAGCTTTTATCTGTTCCAGACACGGGAGTTTGCACTGTTTTTCATGGGCTCTTTAATAATCCTGGGAGGTCAAGACCTCAGTTTTTATCCTGTCTACAAGCCAGCACCTCTACCAAAAATAGTGTCCCCAAAGCATATCGGGATATCACTTCAGAACTGACTCAGAGGGAAGAGTGCCAGCAACTGATTTAGCTACACTGCTTTTGATAGCACCCTGGATTTTCCTTGGAGATGCCCCAGACATGTACTGACCAGCCTTAACCTTGTTTACTTTATGAGGTCTGAGAAGCCCACAGCCTGACATGCCCTGGCTACCCAGTAGGATATGTTTAGTGTCAAGTCTAGCAGCACATTCCCAGAAAACTCAGTATTAACTCACATGCTCAGATTCAAAGAATTGTTTAACATAACAGAGCAACGAGGAAATTGCTGCATATTTGCCTAAATTGGTAAGCAAGGTCTTTTAAAGTTAATATAACCCTCTCTGGGTTGTCTGCATGTTCCTGTGTCCTGATTTCAGACCATTCCTCTTTCCAAAAAGGTCATCTTGTGTGTGCCTACTGTTATTTTTCTTTCTGTGCTTGCTTTTGGTAATGCAATGATAGAAATAAGTGATTTTCCCCAGTTTTAACTGGCCTGCAGCACTTGTTACCCAAAATTAATCTTACAAGATATTGTGGGTAGCAATTATGTGCTGGGTTTATTTAGTGAAGTTCCCAGAGGTCTGCATGACAAGGAGTCTCAAGTAAGAGGCAGTTGTCTCCGTCATGCAAATTTGGGGAATGAATTAATCAAGTGAAAGGTCAGCTGTTTCTGTTATCTATCTTGCCTATCAGTGCTGATGATCACACTTTTCTGTGAGCTATTGAACAAGTCTAGACTGTGTTGGTAACAGAAAGTTGCTTTCTTCAGTCCTATAGATGCAGATTTTCTTTCGAAATGCTGCCCAGCTGCTGAGTCTTGCAGAGCCTAGTAAAACAGAGAAAAGAGATCATAGATGTGCATCTGAAAAAACAAAGAATCCTCTCCAGCCCGTCTGATGTGGGTGTTGCAGCTCATGCTGTCAGTTCTCCTCCATTATTAGCAGGCAGAGGGTGTGAGCTCCTCTCTGAGTGTTGTCTGTCACCCCAGATACTGGGGAGACCCATCCAGATAACAGAGGCTTCATTCTTCCCTCTCTGGAGAGCTCTGTGCTGACAACAAAAGGCTCAGAGGCAGAGGAGTCGGGGATGGACGGGTTTGGGAGCTGACAGCCAGCTGTTGGCCAAGTGAAACCTCCTCCTTTTCTCCCCTTGTTAGGAAAATATTCCACTGGCTGTGGGCATGGAGGAGACCTTCTGCAAAAGGTGCTGCAGGAGGGTGGCTCTGGTGCCAAGTGTCCCCTTCCCTTGGCAAGGGCAAGGGAGAAAGGCACAGGGAATGCATCCCCCCCTTGGTTTGAGTCTGCACCATGTGCAGGGAGAGCTGCTGGGAAGATCTCCTCCCTCAGAGGTCATTCAAGCAGCCAGATAAACTGCACTGCCCAGGATGTGAAGAAAGATTTAGGATTTATGAACATTGGCTAGAGCCAAATCAAACATATTTGTTTGGTGGTGTGTTATTTGTCAAAATGACATCATTCTTCGTGCTGATAAACAAGGGAATTCTGACTGCACCCTGGCCTGAAAATGCCACACGTTGGGTTCAACGTGTGCTGTGTGCAGTGAGAAGCAGTGGGGGGGACTTCTAATCCTTCTGATGAGCCTGTGGCACCACAGGCACACACACTTGCTCACTGCTCCTGTGCACACACAGAAATGGTCCAGCTAATTATCCCTGAAACACTCAGACTAATGCCACGGGTGTGGACAGGACATTTGGGGAAGCTCAGGATCCTGCATCCACACTGATGCAGCAAGTGCCAGGCTTGGGGATGGAGCTTTGGGGATGCAGAAAGGGGCTGAAGGGTCCTTGCCATGGGATGGAGAGGCACTGCCAGCACTCCAGGCATGGAGCGTGGGTGCGGCTGAGGAAACGCAGCCTCCTCGTCCCTCTCGTCCAGCTCTTCCTACAGGGAAATCCCAGCACGTCCTGGCAAGGTGTGGGTTGCCCTGGCACTTGTGGAGGGGCTGGGCTGGGCAGTGGAGGCCTTTTTGTAGCCCAGGAGAGGTTTTTCTCCTCCTCACAGACACGTGTGTGCAGCCAGGGAGTGCTAAACCTGCTCTCCCTGAGCTGCAGCCTGTGTGTTTTCTGCTATACTAAGCACTACACCAGTGAAGGCAGTTAAAGTCAGCAGCATGAAAATTAACATTTTAAAAGATACTCTATATTCCTTAGGAAAGCACTGCTATCCAAAACTCTCTGTGTGGGCTTGGGTATGAGAGGGAGAAAAAAAGATTATAATAAAAAATAGACTGCAGGCATAGAGTGAACAGTTGCCGTGACCTTGCCTTTTGTATGCCATTACACAATTCAATGGCAGTCCACTCAAACCTTGCTCTCGATCAATATCCTATTAAAGCAGCACAAAAAGTCTCTATAAACTTAGTGGTTAGCTATGTTTATAAATGGAACTCAGCATAATTAGATGGTCAATAGCAGGCTGTACTTGTAATTTTAAAATGAACATCACACATTTCATATCTGTTGTATTCGGTGAAACCTCTTTGAATCTAATGATACAGTGTGGAGCAAACAAAGGCCTTGCAAAAAAAAAAAAACAACCCATCCAGCTCCCCTTTCCTCCCAGCAGCAGCAGCAGCACAGTGTGTTTCCCTTTGTTTATGGAGTCACAACACAGGAAAAAGTTTATTAGTCAAATGTCATGTTTCTCCCATTTAACCTTAAACACATTATCACTTCACTGCAGTGTTACACATGTAATGATCTTAGTCACATCCCAGGACCTCTGTAAAAATAAATACATACAAATGGGGAAAAAAAAATAGAGGCTAAATATTAATGTGGCTTAAACAATGTGCCATATTCCAAGGGAGACAAATGCCAGCCTGGCTGGTTTTATTGAGTGGGTTTCCTGTTCTGTAATTCAGTAATTTTTTCAAAATAAATATTGCAGTTGGGTTAAGTAAGAGGGCTTTTTCTTAATTTCTCCATTATTTTTCTTGACATTTCGGATGAGGAGCTGAGCTGGAAGGGAGCAGGCTGTGGGAGCAGGGTGATGCTGCCCTGCATCCCAGGAGTAGAAAAGTGTCAGGCAGAGGCACCACCCATCCTCCTCCTCCTGTTTGGGCAAACCAGCTCCTCCTGCCCCTCTGAGTGTGTCCCAGCTGCACAGGGAATTTTTGTGATGCCAGCAGCTGAAATGGGGGCTCCAGGCTGGGTGTGGGGTAAGAGGGATCCTTCCCTCTCACCTCCTTCCAGCTCATAGCCCTGGGTCAGGCAGCATCTTGAGATTTTTGCTTTGAGTCACAGTTGCAGTTTCTGACATCCTTTCCCATTTGGGGGATGTTCCTGAGCTGTCAAGGAGGTCACTTTGCTGCAGAACATTTCTTACAGGGGTAATGGTGTGGTTTAGATGTCGTTGCCTGGAGTTTGTGAGGTTGCAGCTCCCACGACGTGGGGCTGGAGCGTGTTCCTGGGGAGTAGGAACAGGGGTAGGGAGGTTTTTTGGTGGATTGCCACTTGCTGCAAGGAACAGGTTTGGTTTAGACAGAGTTTTTTAGTTTAGACAGGGTTTTTTAGTTTAGACAGGGTTTTTTAGTTTAGACAAGAGTTTTGCCACAGTTTGCACCACAGCACTTCTGTGGCCAGAGACCTTGAGCTGATGGTGGCAGGGTGGTGGCTCCTGTGCAAGGACTGCCACAGGGTTCAGGTGCTGGCCCCCACAGCCCAGCCAGGCACTTTAACCTCTGCTGGTGTCTATTAGAGGTGAGTTTTGTTCTTTAACCCTCTGGTTTCAAACTGGCATTTGACTATGGTGAGGTGATTTTGGCCAGTGACCAGCAGAGCACCCTTAGTGTTTGCTACCCAGGCAGCAGCCCCAGTGGGATCAGCCCTTTCTGCTTTTCACTGAGTTCACACAGCATCAGCTGTGTGTTCCTACCCTACCCCTGCTCTGAACACACATTCCTTTTTTTCTATAGGGCCAGCTCAAGAAAAATCCAGGATTTGGGGAAAGGGCAATAAACAGGGCAGGGGGAAAGAAAGAAGGGAAAGCATTGCCCACATACCAGTTTTTCTTCCTTATCTCCTTGGAATAAAACCGTTTCATAAATCTGGCAATGTCCAGGAAGTTCATTGTGCCTTGGAAAGAAACAGTGCTTTAATTCAGTGCTTGCCTTTTTATGTTCCTGTTTGGAAAACTGTGTGCTTAACCTGTAAGTTTGGGAGGCAGAGAGTGCAGAGGAGTTGCTCAGGAAAGGGTTTGCAGAGCACAAATCTGTTTGGCAAGGAAGTTGCTGAAAACTGTGGAGTAGATGCTGCAGAGAGTACCTTTATGATTGATTTCCATTCAAGTCAGACTGACTGCAGTGTGGTCATTTTTCTAACCCATAACTGCACACACTGCAGCAGTCTGCTATCTGCAGGGTGTCTGAATTATAGCAGTCCATGTCCCTGTTACCTTTTACACAAATTACTTACACCGGTTTCTTTTTCCATGCAAATTCATCAGTTTTACAGCCTCTTGTAGCTGCTGTCAGGAAACTGTTGCAGAAAGCACAAATTGATAAAACGAGTTAATTTTACTGTGCTTAATTTTTCTTTCCCTCTGTTAACACACCCTCTCATATACCCAGTGTGCAGGAAGCATATGATAGTTAAGAGAAGATAACAAAGGATTTGAGTGTTCTTGTCATAAATTACTTCCCAACTTAATTCCTTTTAATGACCATTCCAGATTTTGTCAAGTTTTAATGGCGTTGTGCATTTTCCGTCCCCGGCTTTTAAAAAGTCCGTGGCTATCCAGGCTGTTCCCTTTCTGTCTCAATGACGTTCTTAAAAGATCCTTGCCAAACAACAACTAATTGTCTTGTGGGGATGATGAGGCAGCTGCAAAGCTACATTATTCCTCTGTCAAATCTGACATTGTGAGCTCCTTAAGACTTGGGGTGAAATACTGGCCGCGTTACAGTCAGTGGCAGCACTCCCAGCCCAGACATGTTAGCTGGGTGATAGGAGCTATCCTGTCTTCATTTCCTCACTCCTTCCCCGTTGGACTGAAAGATTTTTTCATGTTTGAAAATGGGCCAGATTCTCAGACCAAAGATTAAACTTGGCTCAGCATCCCTGTGTGGCACTGAGACTGCTTCGCCTTTGTGGCTGCGAATCAGGGCTCTCAGACAATACAGCCCAGGCCAAGCTGGTGCATTTCATTGTGCAGGACGTCCTTTTTCTGAGGGCTCTGAAATGGGAGAGAAACTCAGGATCTGTGATTGCCAGCCCCCAAAGTTGTATTGTCCTGTAAATAGCACTGGAACAGCCACAGTGGACACGGTGCCATTTGCTGTATTAGTGGCATTTCGGCACGAAATCCATTCTCTGCTGACTTCAACGTTAAGCTGCTCTGCTCCTTGTCTGCTCCCAGAAGAGTACAGCACATGGAGTTCATGGCTTGTGCCTGCAGATTTCAGGGTGTGTAGGAATCCCTGACGTTTAATGTGAAACTGAAGATCCAGGACAAGGAAATTGCAGAGATTCGTATCCCCTGCAATAAAAATTTCAGTACTGGGTAAGGTGATGAGGTGAAGAGTGGAAGGTCACTGCTAGATAAAACTTTTGGGGAGTCGTGTGTCTCTAGTTCTGATTTAGCTCTGATTTAGCTGGAGGAGAGGCCAGAGGAAAGCTCAGATGCTCTTAGGCAGAAAAGAATTCAAGTTTCTCATCTGCTTTTTTAACCTCTGTGCCTGTGGCTGTATATCACACGTACCCCAGAGGTTCTGAGGTGTGTATTTCCCTGCCCATGCTGCTTATAGATCCTGCCAAGCACTCTACAGGGATGATGCAGCCTATCTGTAACCATGCCAATAGAGACAACATGGTCCTAAAAGCACCAAGTTTCATTAAATGTTAGAATGACATTAATAAAAAAGCAGTGCTTAGAGAAAGTCATGCCATAATTGTTTAATTTTAAAAAATAATAATATCATCTTTGGAGGAATGTTAGAGAGATTCTATGTCACGGAACATTGTATTCTTGATAAAATTTCCATCTTCTTGATTGCAATGCCAGGTACCATTAGCATTTCCTAATTTCCACATCCCACCTGTTCCCATCGTGAAACTAAACACACCCATGAGAAAGAAGAAAGTGATTTTGAAGTGCAATTCATGCCATATTCACATGACTTACTGACTGCAATCTCTTTTGTTTCCCCAGCACCGATAGCTGCAGGAACAGGCCCTAATTTCTCCCTCTCAGATTTGGAAAGTTCTTCGTACTACAGCATGAGCCCAGGAGCAATGAGGAGGTCTTTACCTAGCACATCCTCTACCAGGTAATTTAATCTCTGCCTACTACCAGGTTCCTTGGAAACCCAGGCCAGCATCATTACTCATCTGGGGAAGTAACCATTAAATTCTCTGACAAGCTGTTTGGGGGCCTCACGATGTGGAGCTGTTTCAGATTCAGAGAGCTGAATGTTCAGCTGGATTGCAGGGAAGTTCTTTTTGTGTGTACAAGCCTCTAAGGAAAACTGCTGCATGGACTTGTGTAGCTCCTGGTTGTATCTGGGTGTAGGAGGAGAAGTTCCACTGGAATTGTTGAGTTTCAGCTTGTGGCAGAAGAGAACTTGGAGCATAATAAGATGCAAGGAAAGTCTTAAGATAGACTTACATGTATTCTTTACTGTAGAAAGTGTTACCTGTGAGACTAAGACTGTTTTAGGATCTTAGTCTATAAAGCATTTAGTTTTTGTAAAGCATTTAGAAGTTTGTGACTCAGCCTTTGGAAACCAAATTGCTAATGCAGATGACTGCCCCATCTGATTTTGATTTTGACTTAGATGCCAACTATCAAACAAGGATATTTTTTATTTTTTACCTTTCACTTTAATCATCCATGAGATTAGATTTATAAACAAGCTCAGTCACTCGAGTAGTCTTGAACACTATTAAGGAACCAGATTGATTTTTTTCCCCTCACAGCCAAAATAGATCACTTATTTTAAAGACATGACAAGAAAGTCTAACTCCTGCCTAACACTCTTTTACATTTTTATCTCAGCCTGCAGTGCCACCAGCTTTGCAGTGAGCAAGTGCACGTGTGAAAAATCTCTGTCGTTTGAATATAGCTGTTGTTTTTATTTTAAAAATAATAATCTTTAACGAGAGGCTCTTAGCAGTAACTTCTTACAGTTTGCAGTGATTGGAAGAACATTCTGTCTTGCACTTAGCGTGCACGTTATGAAGCTCAGTGACTACAATTCCCATTACACATCAATTAAAAACTTTGTGCTGTTTCTTTCTTGCCTGTAAACTGTGTAGCCTACAGCACTCATCATTAGCACCATTCTCAGGTAGAATTTCCTGGTGACTCCAGAAGCAAAAGTGAGGTTATTAATGTTACTTAAGAGCTCAGTTGTTGCTCTTCTATTCTTCTGCAAATAGCTACCACTGATAAGGAGCTAATTATAAACAGCATGGGTAGTTAATAACTTGGTAATATGTTTGTTTTCCTCTCATTAGGCTGTTCCCAGTCAGGAAAAAAAAAAAATTCTTTAAATACACAGACTCAGCAGAATTATCAGGCGGTAATTATATTGTATGCACACAATTTCCCCTATTGACACATAACAATTCTCTAAATTAAGGAATGGCCAAACCTGCATTCCACACATTCCATAAGACTTATTCTTCCTGTTTCTCACCAACTGGTTTTGCACACCCGCCAGCTCCTACCTGTGCAGAGCTTGGGGTGGGGAGGCTGCAAGCTCTAAACCAAGAGTGGAAGATTTTATGTCTGTTAAATCTGTTCCCCCTACACAGAGGAGCCTGTTGTTGAATGCCTTAAGTCTTAATAGAATACAGATTTGGGGGGAAAAAAAAAAATGAGCTGGCCCAGCCTTGGAAAAGTACTTAGAAGAGAAATTCTCAGTAAGGTCCCCACACAGTCTGTACAACTCATTATGGAAAACAGAGCCAAGCTGGAGTGTCTTTGGCTCTGGGATCCTCTCCCTGCAGAACTGCTGGAGCCAGCGGCCACCAGAGACCACTCAAAGGGCTCTTCTGTGTCCTGAGCCTCTGGTGAGGGAGGTGTGATGTATCACAGGGGAATTCTTTAATGCTGACACTGGCCAGAGATACCCATTGGGGGCTTTCTATGCTTGCTGGCACAGCTGCAGAGTCAAATGCTTCTTATTGTAGGATAACGTGAACATTTGAACCAAGAATGGATTCTTCCATCATTCACTTGCCTGTGTTCCTTCTTATGGGACTGGCTAATTGAAAAGATTGAAAATAAAAGTTTGAGCTGATAAACAATTTGCTTTCAAAATTAGCCGTGAAAAAAAGTCTCATGTGTCATCACCATATTCATTCAAACTGCAAGAACCATGCAATACAGATGAAATTCTTGCCTTTTTATTGACCTCTGCGTGCTTTGAAAAATGTCCTACTCTGAATCTGTGAAAGCCTAAATGTCAGACTAGCTTCTGGCCAAACTGGGGCGTGTTTAGGGGTTTGGCCTGTGAAACATTTTGTAATCTCACCAAAGCGCCCCAAATCTGTCCCACCTTGAGTTATTCTCAAGCACCTCCCAACAGCAGTGCCTTGCTTCCTCTTCCATGCCTTAATTATGTGTTTTTTTGCATGCTCAGCTCCACAAAGCGTCTCAAGTCTGTGGAGGATGAGATGGACAGCCCTGGGGAGGAGCCGTTCTACACAAGCCAAGGGCGCTCTCCGGGCAGCGGCAGCCAGTCCAGCGGATGGCATGAAGTGGAGCCAGGTAAGCCCCGGCTCCCAGAGCCCCAGAACATCATCTCCACTTGCTCTGTTTGGTTATCAGAACTGCTGTGTTAGAGAGGTGACCAGTTCTAGACGTCTTGTCACTTCCGAGAAACGGCCTCATGAAAATATGGCAGTGGTTTTATTGCTCCTGCAGCTGTGAATGTTTCTGTAGTGTGTCACTCCTGTGTTTTGGCCAAATATCTGAAGTATTTAAATAATGCAGCAGAAGATAGGCGGTCTTTTTCTGTCAAATTGTCCAGATTCAGTTCTGGGATAGCTTTTTCTAGCAAAAAGCAGTACCTGTCTGGGCTGTGCTCCATCAGTTATGCTGCTTAAATAAATATCCCTAAACTTATATAAGGTAGAAGGACTTTTCAAGCATTATACAGTACTTGAGATCACTTAGTAATGACTTTTAAGAGACTTACAGAAGGAGTTGTTTTATTAATCTGTAATGCTGTGAAGTGTGATTGGAGGCTTCATATCAAAATAGATATCACTGGCTGTTACACTTCAGAACGTTGAGGAAGCTCTTTGGCCTCTTTCAGTTAATTTTTGTGTGTGATCTTTCCTGTTGATCATTTTTTTGGGTTATGTTACGTTACATACTTAACTGTCCATTGATCACTTATCCTGAGATCATCTGGGTGCTTAATACTATTGGAAATATTTTTTTTCTGGGTCAGTGCTATGTGCACAGGTGAAGTTAATGCCTCAGTGTTGCTTACAGCTAAATAATCAAGTATTTATTGCCAATAAAAATAACAGAAGTCTTACTTGTTAGAGGAAGGCAAGCAGTGCCTCCCAGGGTTTGGGAAGGTCCTGTAAAAGTGCAAAGGATCTTTTGCAATGCGTATTTTTTGTCTTTCTTGTTCGTCTGGATTTAAAATAGCATGGGTTTGGTTTGTTTGGAAAAAACACATGCTTGTCCAGGGCACTGTGTATAATGAACTATACAGCACAGAAAAGTAAATTCGACCTGCACAGCATTAAAATCAGTTCTGTGGGCACTTGGCCAGCCACCTATATCCTTCATCATGTAGGAAACATACCCACAGCTTTCTCTGGAGACCCTGTCAAACAGCTGTCCTTTACAGCATGCCCAGAAAGTCACCAAATTTGGGCTATTCCAGACTGGGAGGAGACTGATTCCTGTGCCTGGGAGCCCTTGGAGGATCCCCTGCCAGCTGCCCTCTCTCCTCTAATGAGGAGGAGCCAGCTTGTGGGCCCTTATTGACTGCAGATGTGGCACTTTGGCAGGAGGAGAGGGTGGACCTGCAGGCAGGCAAGTGCCAGGCTCCCCATGACTGCCTTGCCACCGCCGTCCCCAGGGCTCTGGTGTTTGCTCTGAGGTGTCCTGCTCCAGGCACCAGGGGCTGTCCCCTCCATCAGCTCCAGGCTCCAGATGATGTAAGGCAGAGATTCACCTTGCGCTAAACCTCTGCTCACCAAGCGGCAGAAACGCGGACGAAAGCTCGGCTCAAAGGGAGAGACCCCAGCCTGCTCTGCAGACACAGATGGCTGAAAAGTGACGGGGTCACTGCTTCTGCATCACTGCCAGGCTGGGGGACAGCTCCCCCCAAAGTTTGGGGTGCTCGTTGTTAGTGACAAATGTTCTCCATTTGTGCAGCGGCCAGAGGTTGGCTATTAATTCCAACATTATTAATGTGGTTTTCCCCACATGTGGTCATTACCTCTGGCTCATCCAAGCCCTGGCTTGATGGTGGCACTGAGCTGCTGAGCTGGGCAAGGGAAGTACCCAAAGCCTTACACCTCCAAAGCACCTCTGCTGCTCTTGGCACCACAGCTGCCTGTGTCAAACTTCCCGAGGTGCTCAGAAAGACAAGAACAAGTCAGACAAGAGAAGGCTCTTCCTTCCTCATGACCTTCCTCACTTATTATAGAAAAATCCCAGATTCTGCTTAGCCTTGCCTGTAAAATGGCAGAAAATCACCTTGCAGCATCAGGGACTGTAGCCAGGTACCAACTAGATATAGCTCAGATTCACCAAGCCATCTATCACTGTCACAGCTGTGAAGAAAAAGAGCTTTCTTTATCCTGCCCACGTGGGATGCACTTCCAAGCCATCCTTGTGCTGTATCCACACAGCCCCACCCCAGTGCTTCTGCCATGGCTTTCCAGCAGCCTGTCCTCTGAATTCATTGCCTCAGCTTCTCTGTAAAACAGGGTCACTGCGAGAGCACAGCTGACAGAGGATTACCTGAAGAGCCACAGCTCATCAGTGGTGAAGGACAAAGCAGTGCTGAGTGTCCTTCCCTGCCGGGGCAGCAGTGGTGTGTCACTGGCCCGAGGTGCTCCCCCAAGGGACACTCCTGCTGTGGTCTGTGCACAGACATCAACCCTGGCTGTGACACCAGTGTGTGGCCTTTTGTGTTTGACACGGGGGTTCTACCTCCACAAGTGTAAAATGTTTGAGGAGTCTTTAGTGGGGCATCTGCCTAGAAAATAATTTGGTCACCTGAAAGCTGTACAAGTGATGCTAACATCCCAATTTAGCTGGGGGCTTTCCACAGCATTCCTCTCTGAGAGGGAGCTTTGGAGCCTGGACCAGTTTCAGATCCATCCTTTCCGATGTCTTTATTTCCAGAGAAAGGCCTTGCCATTTATTTAATCTACAATCAAAATGGTGGCACAGTTTTTAGCATACAATAATCTCTGAGATTCGGTATTTTCTTTTTTTCTCGGTGAAATTTGCAGTAGAAGTTTAAAGACTAAACCCATCTTTTTGTTTAACTTGGCATTTCTTCCCCGCAGCTCATTTTGTGCTGTGTGGGATAACACAGGTATCAGCAGTGCAGAATGGTGCTGCTTCAGAAGACAGGCTGAGGTTTTATCCCGTGCTGGCAGAGTAGTGCAAGCCAGGTTTCCAAACTCCATAATTAAACCCTGTCCTTTGGGTTACTGGCCAAACAACAGGAGGAGGAAATCAGACCAAGGAAAGGAAGCTTAGACTTGTCTGTGGGATGGCTGCTCTGGCTGGGAAGGAAAGTTCAGAGAGGAGCCAGCAGCCAACCTCCCAGCCCAGTAGGATCCACACCAAAGATAATAATACATCCTTTGCCTTTATTGCCTTTGAGTAGATTGCTTCCTCACAGGAGATTTAGATTTATGCAGAGATAGCTTCTTGGCCTATATGCCTTGACAGGTTTATGGGAGTGAGAGGATGAATATTCCATCTCTGTGTGTTGCATCTGCTTAATTTTGAGGTGTGCACATGAGAAAGAGGGGAGACTCAAACCCTGGAGCAGGTGTGAAGCACACACATGCTCGTGGCACAGGCACTGGGAGAGGGTGGTAGTGAAAGGTGTGGCCTGGGACAGCGCAGGGCTGTGTGAGAGGGAGATGGAAGAAATGCACTTCAAAGAGAGCGAAACGTAGAAGAGAAAGGGAAAAGGAGAAGCCAGGCTTTAGGCCATACAGAAGGGAAAAAGAACAAATGCCAGGAAAAGAAAGATTTGACTTCCTATAAAGGAAATATGAAATGGAATATGTGAACTCCTCTTAGAGAAAGAGAGCACTCCAGGCAGAGGGTTATTTACCGCCAGCCGCGACTAGTCGCTCTACATCTGTCTCCATTCTTTTCTCTTGAACAAATTCCCTTTTTGGATACTTTTCTTCCTGCTTTGCTTCCCTGTGATTGCCCCTGTAAGTGGTCTTTGGAGGGCAGGCTGTATGCTCAGAACATATGTGCAAACTGGCCGGAGAACAGAAGAGGACAAAACCACTCTGTGTGCTATTTAGATTAGGCAGTGGATGCTTCCCCCGTGCCTACTCCTGTCTGCAGGATGCAGGCTGCACCTACTGTCCATCCACAGCCCTCCCTCTGAGCTTTCACTTGCTCTGCTGAGGCACCCTGATGTCTGTCTCATGTGGAGACTTTGCTGGGTGTAATCCTCCGTGCTTCGCCCACCTGGGTGTGGATCCTTCACGCTTCGCCCACCAGCAGCACGACCTCTCCATTCGTGGCACATCGGGCTGGCAGTGATGAGCAAAGGACTCAGCTTGGTTTATTTTACAGATATTTCCTGCGACCGAGGGTGCAGCACTCTCCTTGTAGGTCAGGTGTGACAGCCAAAGCAAACCCCAGCATTAATCCCATGTTCCTTGTGCTGTACTCCTTGAGTCTTGCATCCATTTACCTGCACTCGAAAGCTCCTGGGGAGCTCTCCGACCTAAAAAGGCTGGAGTCTGCCAGAAAAGATGAATTTCCTTTCACAACAGGAAGGCTTAGGAAGTGAAACAAAGCAGACAGGTAGTAAATTACTTCTGCTTTTCAAATACCTTTTGCGGTATCCTCCTTACCATTACTTTATCTCAGCACTTTCAGTACATAACTCTTGTTAACTGAGAAGAAGGGCAAGAGAGGATAAAGATGATGTTAGTAAGAAAATAAGGCAACATCACACTGGCTTTGAACTCCTGCACAAAGCTGGCCTGTGTTCAGTTCTGTGGCAGCTCTGCTTGTAATGGGGTAAGCCATAATTACAGGTATATGTTCTTTAATTCCATAATAAGCAAACATTGAGTTCATGTACATCTGTATTCCCCTTATGCATTTTTTTTTAATGGATTCTCTTGATCCAGTCCAGGAGTAACGTTCACATTGTGCTCCCTCAGTCATTTTGTGGAACATATGGATGGTATTTGCCAAGTCTGCTTCCATTGTGTTTCTACAGCATGGCGTGGAAAGAAATGTTTAAGATGCAAATTCAGAGTATCCTGTTGGATTCTTTACCTAGGTATTCTACTTGTTTCTTTACTTGGATCTTCTGCTTTATTCTTAGATCTTCTATGTGTATTTCCATAGTTTAGTCCCTAGAGGACAGTAATCCCAGGAAAGGTACTCCTTGCACTTCTTGAGGTATCTGAAGAGACAAACAGCTCTGCTTTGGTTGTGGCCTTGATCAACTTGGTTTGCAAAATGGCTGGAGCTCTGTGGTCCTTTTTCCTCTGAGAGACTGGTGTGGCTGTTCATGT